CAGACCCTCCCAGTGATGATTCTTCCCGTGTGGCTCAGCAAAAAACTAAAAACAAAAACACAAAACAAAACAAAAAAAAACAAGTGGGGAAAAAACTTCCCAATTCTGGCTGTGATAACTGCTCTTCCTACAGGCACCACCTCCCAGCCACGAAGCGGGAAGTTTTGAACGTGGTGTCCTGGTGCCTCCTGGTGCTGAAGCTGGAAATGGCACAACGTGTCACTGCAGCGTGCCACGTTGGGGTGATTATTGCATTTATGATCATTAATTTCGTTGTGTTTAATTCATTAAAGCATGCAAATGCATATAAATGCAGAGGAAGTGTTTTCAAAATGCTAATCATAAACTGTGCATGGTTGCAAGCATGTTCCTCATCAGTGGGACATCCTCTTCACCTATTGTCACCATCGTCTCCCAGCTGTGCATACTACCACAACGCTCATAACACCACTTTTTCCAGGCCAGAAGGCCTCATTCATTTTTCTCCCTGTTTCTTGCATGGAAAACAAATCTATTTCATTTGCTTACCTGTTTGGGGTTGTGTTTTTTTGGCTTTGGTAGTAGTCAGGGCTACTGATGTTTCTTTATTTGGAGAAATGAAACAATCTGGATTTTCTTAAAGAAACCAGCATGCAAAGCATCCAGAGAAACCCGTAATTTCAGCCTCTCTGGTCCATGTGCATCCTTACTGAGGGATCAGTTGGCTCCAACCTTCCCAGCCCACACACAGTGTTTTCACCACAGCCTCACTCCATGTCCGAGTTTCACATTTTCCCCCTTCCCCTGAACAGCCTTTTGCTTTCAGAAGCTTCTTCCTGGCTTCCGGCTCACCAGACCTCCACAGAAGATGAAAAGATGCTCATTAATATCAAGACGAGCAGGCAGGAGATGGAAGGGCTTAATCTCTGGTGGCAGATCCCACCGAGACTGACTTACATCTGTGGTGAAGCCTTAGTCAGCATCTTTTTTTTTCTGGGACAGTACCAGAAATGTGACTGATAAGGGAGTCATGGGCTTACGGAGAGCAACCAGGAGACTGGCTTTGCTGTGTCTCTTCATATTATGGGCTCCATCTTCTGAAGGGGGTCCAGCTTGAAGAAGGCCTTGCTGCAGAGCAGATAGTGCTGCTTTGCTTGCCATGGCCTGATCAGAGGCTGTTAGATGACACAGAGCCCCCTCCGCAGCTTCTGCTGTCACTGGCTGCAGAACCTAGCACCTTCCTGCGTGAGGAAGGGACAGCAGAGACCCTGCTGGACCTTCCTGTCTCCAAAATGTAAGGAGTTTTTCAGACAAAGAGAAAGATATTTGGAAATTCTAATGGGCTAAAGGTAGAAGGGGAAGTTGTATCCTTAAATTTGAAATGGCACAACCCTGATATCCAGGCAGTGGAGGCTGCGCTGCGAATCTTCACTGCAGCCCTGTCCCATCTCCTGCAGGACAAGTCAAGCCGGTGGCTGCACACCATCACCTCCCAGCTCCCGGGGAGCTCAGCCTTGTCCACAGGCGCAGAATGGCAATAAGCGTACGTACAAACGCAGATGTTGCACCCAAAACACTTATTTTTTTTGCTTGTAAGTATGCTGAAAAGATAGATCTATTCTTAAAAGAAAAAAAAGGCTTCATAAACACCACCTCAGCTTTGTTCCCTGCAGTTTGCAGCTACAGAGAGAAAGGCTGTGCACACTGAGTTTTGAAGCAGGAGGATGAAAAGTTCTTTCAGCCGCACAAGCTGAGGCAAACACCAAGAGCCAAAGCTTTTACTGCCGGACCATAAATACTGATCTGCTGCAGCACAAATGAAGCCTTCACAACACCTGTGCCGTGTCTCACCTTCCCAAATAGGCTGTCCAGGTGAAAACAGCTTCGGAGGACAACCCCGTTCTCCTCGCAGGGGGCACAGCCCTGGCCCCCAGCTCTGCAGGACCAGTGGGAGGCAGGGATGCTGCTGAGAAGGAACAAAACAAGAAGAGCAATTAAAACAAGTTTTACACAAACACTTTTGGAATAAGACTGCTTGGAGTGCAATTTTTCAGCCATTACACACTCAGCAACGCACGTTTCAAACATATTCACAAGGTACCACAGAGATTTCAATCTGGTCCCAGCTTTCAGCTGACACAAGTTGCATTTTTTTAGTTACATGAGCCAATTCTTGTCAACATGTTCTCTGCTTTAGAAGGGAAAAGTCCTTTATTTTTAAAATAGCTATTCACTGGAGTCTTGAAGCCAAGTGTTTCAAGACCTGAAAAGCTTTTAATGACAACTTGAAAGTGAAATCACCTGATTGCAATTTATTGCCCAAAGTGGGAGAAAAATGACAAAAAAGTGAAAAGTCTACAAAATTTTAAAAAGCATGTCTATGCTCATCTTCTGCAGCAGAGGAAAAAGAAAGAAAATTCACCTGTCAGTTAAACTGCTCCAGTTTAATTCACTAAACCATGTCAATACACATAAATGCAGATGAAGCATTTTTAAAGCGGCAATAATAAACTGTGCAGTGGTGGCCTGGGCTGGCAAGCTAAGGCAGCGAGGAGATCCAGGCAGGAGACCTTGAAAGAGCACAACAGGCAGGAAGGGCCACTCTGATGTGCCTGTACACTTCAGGTGCAGCATGGGGAACATGCAAGGGGACTTAAAACTCTGTGTGCAGCTGCAGGGGTGGACCACATTGGGATCTCAGAGACATTGGGAGTCAGCTCACACAGCCAAAGCGCTGCCATGCACGGGTACAGGCTCTACAGGAAGGACAGGATGGGGAGCCATCCTGGACCTAAGAGAGCAGCAAGACAGCATGGAGCCCTGCCCAGGGGTGGACAATGAGTCAGCTGAGAGCACACAGTTAGGATTAGAGGGGCGACCTATGTGGATGACATTGCTGTGGGTGTCTGCTACAGCCTGTGCGATCAGGAAGAAAACAACTGGAAGAAGCCTCATGTTTGCTGGCCCTGCTCCTCATGGAGGACTTAAACCACTCTGATACCCACTGGAGGGACAACACAGAAAAAGCACAAGCCGTCCCGGAGGTCTCTGGAGCACTGATAACTTCCTGACACAGATACAGAGCTGCTGAAGAGGGAGGACTGGAGCATCTGTCATACAAGAAGCTGAAAGAGCTGGGGTTGTTCAGCCTTGGGAAGGCTCAGGGGGATTTTACCGATGCAGGTTCTCGAGTCTCCATTCTTGGAGATATTCAAAATCTGACACAGCCCTGAATAACCTGCTCCACTTGCCCCTGCTTTGAGCCGTGGTGTAGGACTAGATGACCTCCAAAGGTCCTTGCCAAACTCTGCAATTCTGTGAATTTTAAAAGAAAGTGAATTTCAAAGACACAGAAATAGCTACATCCTTTTTCATGTCCTCACAGTTGAGCCTACCTCTATCAGTACAGCATCAAAAAACAAACACACCTGGGAGTGTTGTGAGATGAAGTAACAATACAAACCACACTAATATAACACAAAGTATTTGTGAAGATTTTAATTGGGACATTTACTGGAAAACTCGGATGAGGACAACACAGAGCATTAGCTCCTTAGTAATTAATTCCACATTTTGCAAAGACAAAAGTTTCATGAAAGATAAGGAAAACATTAGGAAAACCACATAAAAGTCATGACCAGGATCCATTACACCACCAACCTAACACAAACCACGAGTTGACATGAAGCATGTTTACAGTTCACCTGCACACAGACAGACACTCTGAAGACAGACTTCTAAATTGAATTGATTTTGGCACCAGTAAAAAGAGATGGCTTTTTTCCTGTCTCAAGCAAATCTCCTGTAATGTCAAATAAATACATAAGATTTTAACAGCCTAGGTTTTTTCATAGGGCTCCCTGAACTGTGTTTAACTTTGCCAGACCAGCAGATACACACTGAAGGGCATTTTCTTCCCCTTTTACTTCCACACTGAGAATAAATTACCTTTTACTTTTCTTACCAGAAGAAATAAAAGGAATTCTTAGAAGATATTGAGACCACAGAAGAGGACGTACCTGTAATCCAAGCCTTCAGATCTGCTGAAAAGATTTATTCATGGTACAGCTTTCCTACTGCTCAAATTGGATGCAACTCTCAAAACTCTACACCCATCTGGGAAGTCCTGCTCCTGCACAGCTGTGCTTCAAGGACAGGGACCTTCTACTACCATGTTGAAAGAGAGGAATTACTTTTTGCTGACTTGCTGTAGTAAAGTTTTATTACATGCTTAGGGTGTCCTCAATATGCACCCAATCCTTATAATCGTAGATAATTTGGACACGGGTGTTCAGCTCTTCCTAATACCACTCCATTTTGACACATGGCAATATCCAATTATTATCGGGTCTATACTAAGTTAGCTCCATAGTAAGGAAATGCATACTAATTTGCATTTTTCTAAAGCACAATAATGCATTCTCTGCTCCAGGACACAAACCAAACAGCCTCTGCCCTCAGCAGTTAACAAAAAATTAGTCAGTTGTGTGAAAACCTTTAACAATCAACACTGTTTTTAAGCCCCTAGATTTGCAATTCTGAATTATGTAAACATCTAAAACCACTACTTAATACATCTTAAGAATCTAAAGCATTTCTTATAAAAGTATATAAAATTAAAAATTAAGTATCTGTTGCTCAGAATTCATTCAAAATGCTGAGCTTAACAATCATTCCTTCCTCTCCCAGCGCTCAAGCACAAGCACATTTACCGTAAAACAATGGATGTACTTTACCTAGGGACAGGTATCTTTCAGTAAGGGGAAAAAAGTATTTCATGCATAAAAGATAGATTTATTATTTCAGACATGATTTTCATATTAAAATGATTGTATGTATAACTACTATTACAGAAAAACTTTAAGACATCCCTCGATACATATTAACATAAATATCACCATCCAGTCCAGTAAAATTGTACCAAACTGGCTTTAAACTTCTTCAGTGCTAACAGTCAAGAGCTGGGACTCAATGGTCAACTGACCTTTGGGACATACAGTTCAACAAAAAATATGCTTGTTATTGTTTTTATTATTCTCAGGCAACAAATTATCCAAAGTCCTTCAATAAACAAACCCATGTGCTACGTTGCTGGCTCTATCTTGTCAGTCTCTCCCTTCTTTGGATGCTCCTCCCGCTTTCTGCCCTGTTGCATGGTGTACACCGAGGGGCCCATCCTTAGGATCTTCCCACTGCCCAAGCACTCGTCACCCTTGTAGAACACAGCAAACTACGAGACAAACACAGCAAGAGTCTTTTCAGCAGCTGCAGGCGGCACGGTGAGCAGCTGTGCAAGAGCTGCTGGACAGGGAGTGTATTCATTCACATTTGTTCTGAAGAAATCTCAAAAAGAACCCTCAGAACAAACCCAAACCATATAGGATCCGCTGGCTCACATGAGTGTAACCACAAGCACGTTAGGGGAAATTCCACCACGAGCTTCATCTTCTCAGCTCAAATCACTTCTCTGAAGTGCATCTCTCTGTTACAAACAGCTCTCAGACAATGTGCCTCTTGAGGTGTCCCATGGGCACCCAAGTTTTGGGGAGGGAGGAGGGTAGAACATCATATGCAGGGAGAGGGCACGCAGAAAATGTTTGAGAACCACTGGTTTACGATGTGATGGCACACCTGTGCATTAGCAGTGTTAAAAGGCATCACTGCACTGCACCCGTTCCCAGTACTGTTCCAAGACAATGAAACTCACTGGACACAGGTCCTCACTACACAAATTTGAACACTAAAACCACATTAAGCAGCCAACTACCAAACTAATGCCTTTTAAAATCTATTTCTTGAAGACAATGGCAGATTCCATTTCTGCATATACAGCTGATTACCAGAGAAGTTTTCATGTATTTCTAAAATTTGTAAGCCAGTTTCTTGGACTGTATGGGTAACAACAGACCACTTTACACTACAAACAACCTCCTTCAAAGTAGCTGATGGTCAAAGCAGATCTAACTGCTCTCACTTACAAACAAATGAACTCTTTTTCTCCAGCTAATAAAAACACTACTCTGTTTTATTAGCCAGATAAGCCAAAACACAAAAAAGGAAGAAAAAAAACTTTTAATAACTTACCTGCCCAGGTGTAATAGCTCTTGCTGGCTTCACTAGTGTCACCCACACACTCCCATCTTGGTTTAGAGTCAGCACACAAGGCACTAGAGCAGAAAATGACCAAACACCTGCCAATTAATCCTTATGTTCACATTAAAAAAGATTAACCTTCATCACTAGGTTAAACACCTGTAAGTCAGGATACTACTACACAGAACTGTTTTATAAAGACACTACAGGAACAGCAAGGTAAGCCAAAACATTCCAACTGTTTCTGCAGAACTACACTGAACACACTACGAGTTTCACAAATTGAGTAAAACAAAAACCAAACCAAGGTTTGATTACCCAATGCCATCTGGTGTCGAAACCTGAAATGACATTCCATCATTTTCTCTCTGATGAGCTCCGCAGGAGGTTCCTCTGCTATCCAGTGCACTCGGTTAGTCCGCAATAGGTCTCTGTACAGAGCTGGGTGATTTGTTGATGGTGCCTTAAAATACAACATTTATTTAATGCTGACGTTTTTGCCAGAAAGTGTATGATTTGTGAAGCAAGGTATGAAATATAGTAGTACCAGGCCATATAAAAATGAAGGCAAAACGAGTAAGAAAACAAGCATTTATTAGCACTTAATTAGCTTCCAGATGAAGCTTTTAATTAAAGAAATAGGCTGAAGCAAGCCTGAATTATTTGCCAGTCTTCTAAACCTCAGAGTCATGTCACTTCTTGTATTCTTTTTCCTACCATCATACTTCTGCCTTCTTCTGGCCGAGTTTAGGTGTCTACTGCCCTCCTTATCCTACCTCAACAACATGCTGCCTCCCTCGTCTCCGATATCTCAACCCAGCACAGGCACTGCATGCATACAACACTACTGTAGGGCATTAAAAAAATCCTTCATGGTCCTGCCTGTTTCCTCTCAATGCTCTTTACAAGATTACGATTTCCCCCCCTTCCCAGGCACATCAAGCAGCAGAACCTCAATATAATCACATCAGCATCACCTCATTATAATCACATTAATATCACATCTGCAATGACAACTGCATGAACAGCAAGAAACATTAACAATGCTAGCAAGCTGCAGAACTCCCGGTCATCTTATATGATTACTCATTAAGACATGAATGATTTGTAGTATTTCATATACTCTGCCTCAGTTTTCAAAAGGATAAAACTGAATTACTGGCTACTACTTGTTTTACTAGGAAAAGAAAGCAGCAACACATAGTAAAACAAGATAATACACAAAATTTTATGTATCGTGTCATAATGACGACAATAAAAAACTTCTGGTTTGGAGTAGAAAATGAGAGCTCAGCAGGCTGGCAGATTCTTTTCAGCACTTGCCCTTTGTTTAGAAAAGTTCTATGCCAAAATCTGAAACAATTTTCTACTTAAGAAAAGCCAGTTTAGACAAGATGTTTCAAATCTGCCGATGCTGCCCTAGTTGGTTCTTGTTAGAAACACATTCCACACAGCAGGAGCCACAGAACGCTTGCATTACTCATTTGCTATAATTAACTCACCACAAAGACATCTCCAGTGCTGACATCTTTGTCTACAACGAACCAAGCATCCTTCAGGCCGGCTAGTCTAGCCCTCTGGCCTATTGTGTAGAGGAACCAACCTAAAGAAATACAAAAATGTAATCTTGCTAGCAACTTTTAATCTTCTACTTTCAGAAAAATGTGTTAAAATCATTTCCCCAGAACTTGACCAGTAAATAAAGAATAACAAACCAAGCTGTCTTAGAGAAGTGTGCCAATTACAAACTAAATTAACATCTACTTGGAGGTTTTCATCCGTACCTGAAGCACGTGACTGCAAACTAACCTGTTTCAATTGTAGTATCACTAGTGTTTATAAAAGACAAACATTTCTTTCTTTCTGCTTCAATTTATGGTTTTCCTACCACTCAGTCTTACCAGTTTCCCTTACTTTTATGTACTAGTAGAACATCCTACTTCCATACGTTACTTGGGAGAGGAACTCAGTTCTGGCAGCTAGAACTGAAGACGGAGCAAAGGAAGGACACTCAGAAGGAAAGGAAAGATAAGCTGCCCATGTCTGGTGATGTCCTGCTGTGCATCACTGAGGTGCATGATATATTTTTTCTGCAAAGTTTAGATACTAAAGAATCTGGAACTGAAGCACAATCATTTTGAAGAAACTAAATGAACAACAATCTCTTGATATTAAACTAACAACAACTTAGTATCAACAGAGTAACCCTAACAATTATCAGTTACTTCACTGCAACATGGAACAAATAATCAAGAATCAGTCATAGTTCAAGACTGTACTATTGTATAAAGCAAGTTTTCCATTACTATTAGAGTTATCAAACTGGGAAAAACCTGTAGACTGGTTTGGAATTTCACAAAATTCATCCCTCCAAATATAAGCACTACTGTTCCATTTATCTAAAAGCAGTTATTAGGATGGGTTTGCCAATTACCTTTGTGTGTTCCCATCACCTTCTTATCCTCAATGGAAACAAAGTTACCTGGTTGAGGTTCTAAATACTACCAAACAGAAAGAGATTGTTTAAGTCACAAAATGGCCCCAAACCCCCCTCACAGTGTGTTTCAGGTTCTGTCCTTACATTCTTGTAAAGCTGGAAAATGGCTTTTCAACAAGCAAACCCCGCCCAAGCAGCTTCCTGCCTCTCCCCTGATGCTGCTTTAGTGAGAAAAGCACGAAGGGCAGTCCCTATCAACAGTAATTCTGGGCTTCACTCCCCCATCCTCACTTATGCCACGGGACAGCAGCACTCAGCCTTTTGTCCCTCTCACATCCCAGTCAGAGAGGTCAGAGCCTCGCATGCACAGTAAGTTGCTACAAAAAGCGAGTGACTGCCCGCTGGTGGAGGGACAAGCTGCTTCCTACAGGCTGCTGGCATTGGCTTCTGGGTAGGCTTGGGACTGCAAAGGGAAATGGGAAACTGCTACTTAGGGTGGGCCACGAGCTGTCAGAGATTTTTACATAGACAGCGCTACAAATTACTACTGAAAATCGGAACAGAACATAAGGATTGTCATAGATTTAATGGTGCTCACCTCAAGAAGGAACTTTTCAAAGTTTCTTTCACCAATGAAACAGACTCCCATACTCTGAAAAGAAAACATAGTATTGAATCTACAAAAACAGAGAAAAACATTTGAAATAATGTCTATTAATAATCTGTTCAGGAAGTATTTTGTCTTCCCCGTGTATCCCAAACTATGCTAGACATCTCATAAAATAAACAAAACCACAACGTCTGCTCCAACATATGTAAACTAATTCTACAGAGTATCAGTGAGAGTTGTAAACAGAGAAGAGAAATAATAGGAAACAGAACATTAATCTTGGCGACTACATTGCATGTGTATTAAAAACAGAAGTCTCTTTCAGATTAAAGTACAAAAGTAACAAATTATACAGTACTGGCTTATCTCTTGGGAAAAAAACAACCAACCAACGAAAAACACTTCCATAAACAAATAGGCTTTCCTTTCAGTTACTGCCTACATTCTTCAAACAACCACTTAAACAACCATTTATGGTGGATGAATATAAGCATTAAAAGTGATCAAGAGCATTAGCAATACAATTGCTGTCTCCATCATGTCTTTTAATATCAACCCATGAAGTGTTATTTCTCAGCCAGGAAAACAGATCTTTTTTATTTTAAAAAGTAACTGTGGAAAAACAGTACAATCGAATTTCTATAAAGACATATTGAAAAAGAGTGAGACTGAGGAAGCCTTTATAAGCTATGGAAAATCAAAATCAAAGGCTTCTCACCTGCTGTACTAGCAAATGCTTTCCTTAAGGTCAGGGCATGCTACCACAACGACCTCACCTCAGTTCATCTGAGATACGACAGTAGATAAATTATCTGCAAGTTAAAATACACAAGTGGCCACGTGCTAATACAAGTACTTTTAAGCAAGTAGACAGCTATAAAACTGCTTCCTGACCCGTTCTATTACGGTGCTCGGAAACAGCTGAGTTGTCACAGATTAGAGTTCATGAAGTTTAGGAAAGACCATGTTAGAGAGAAAGACAAATCAAAAGAGTTTAAGTGTTACCATGCCTCTTTTTTCTTTAGCACATGATGAAGGTCATGCTCCGCTGCTATCTTCCTTACGAAGCTTTTTGTTAAATCTCCTAAAGGGAAAATGGTTTTCCTCAAAGCATCCTGTGAGATCTGACTGAGAAAGAAGGTCTGGTCCTTAAAGAGGTCAGCCCCTTGAAGGAGTTTCACAGCTGCAAAGTGGAGAAGACATTAACCATTTCAACATAACCCCCTCTAATAGTTCAACTTCATTTAGTATTTGGTGTGACAATCAACATTTAGTTGTATTATTTGCAAACACAAGTTAAAGACAGCTTTTCTCAGGTTTTTCAAGAACCAATTGAAAATGTTTGGGTATTTTCTCACTACTAAAAAGATAAAAAAGGATTCTGACTTCGCACAACACATCTTACAAAGTCTTACACCACACCTGTCACTGACAAGATCAACAATGTGAAATATGAAAGCAAACTTCACATTTCATGTGGAAGAGAAAATGAACATTCAAATGTCAGAGAATCATAGAATGCATTGGGTTGGAAGGGATCACCTAGTCCAACCCCCCTGCAATGAGCAGGGACATCTTTAACTAGATCAGGTCTTCCAAAAAACCACTCAGTTTCACCCTGAAATCACACTGCTATAAATCAGTGATTTGAACAATCACCAGAGTTAGTCCCAAGAGTCAGAGAAGGAGAATTTGACTTTATTCTTTAAAATAAATTAAGTAAAACTGGTAGTTTTTCAGTCATTTCTGTCCACTTTCTTTGAGAGCTAATAGCTCTGATGTTGTACAAACTCTACTGATGTGTTTCTTGTCTCAAATGAAGACTAAGTACAGGCCAGCAGTTCACTCACAACTAATAAAACAAAATCTCAGTAACAGGGCAGGAAGATTGCTTAGACCATCACAAATTACTGCAACTAAATTAAAACAAATAAAACAAATAAACCCTTCTGAGCCCAGAAATGAAAGCCAGGAAGCTAAAACACAAAAACATCACCATGGCACCTTTGCACAGTTGTAGTTTGCAAGTTCCTTTCCCTTGCAAGTTTTCTCGTTTTAGGTCAGGGCTCCATCTGAGCTACTTGACTGCATCACAGCCAACTGCAGAGCTATTTGGGAACTTTCTACATTGCCATCCAAGCTGTGACAGGGCCACGCAGAGACACACCCAAACCAGTATTAATCAAGGTGGCTTTAGCACTGATAACACTAGAACCACTGTGGTGCAGAGATCAATGTCTGACTATGCATAGGCAGAGGCAGACTATTAAAGTGAAGAGCCAAACCTGCAGCTGCTGCTATGAGTACCTTTGCTGACCTGAGAACTGTAGTCTTAAAAACATCTACGCATGCTGCACTTGCATTTTTAAATTGCAGTGCTGGCACAACTTTAATCTGCCTGGGAAAACCAGGCTTCTATATGAGAGCAGAGAAATAAGGCAGAATAGTTGAATTACTGAATGGAAATTTGATCTTTTCTAGTAAAATAATATGCAGTTCAATTACTGTATAACAGTAACGAATTTTAATGTTTCAAAGCCTTAATTCTAAAATTCCACTCAAGCATATCCCCATGATGAGGTCTATAAGTACTAATAACTGAATAGCTAATAGATACACTCCAAAAATAGAAGAAACATATAAAGAAACTTTTGTGTAAGTCATGAAAATACTAAAGACTTCTTGAAATACTTCTCCTGGGTACAGAAGATAGCCCTGTCTCCTGAATCCTCATTACAGCTCCTCCAGAATGTTGATTACTCCTGAAATGCTTATTCTTACCCCTGCACCTGGATTAGAACTTTTAAAATAGAAAATGTAGTATCTGACTAGACAGGGTAATTTTCAGTGATGTAAATCCCTGTTTTGTCCAATCAACGTTCTACAAAGGCTTGAGGGTAAGTGGTAATCACTGTGTGTAAGGTAACAAACTTCTCTGATTCTGTGACACCGAATATAATTTAAATTTCCCTTTCATATCCAGGATGAAATATGAAATGAAGAAACCACTTACTATTTCTAACTTCAAAACGGTTTCTGAAAAGCCTTTGTGGTCTTTTAATATGTTTATGTTGAAACACTTCCTCATCCTCTAGTGAGGTCCTAGCGTAATGCCCAGTAGCAATTGCATCCGCTCCTGTTGAGAAAACCACAAGACACAAAGGCACATACCTGAAATTCACAGCTGAAAACAGCATTACAAACACATAGGGAAAAGAGCAGAAAGCAAGAAGGAAGAAAACCTATGAGAATCTTACACTGATAATAATCCTGCTCCTGCTACATAAGTAAACTTTTCATCAGTGTATCAGAACTTTTGTCCTTTAGTAACCCCATAAGAATGCAAAACTTAATGCTAAGGTCTACATACACCTCTGAATTAAATGTGCTCCTACATAGGAGCAACCTAATTTAATGAACAATGGCCCTGCCCGTGGCAGGGGGGGTGAGAACTAGATGACCTTTAAGGTCCCTTCCAAACTAAACCATTCTATGATTGGATATGTAAAAGCAAACTTAAACACAAATACTTCACAAATACTGAAATACTGCCACAGCCATACGTCAAACAGGCATACAAGGGAATTCACAGTTTTCCCCACCTTTTCAAGACTTTGTGTCTTTAATGTATTTCCAGCACACACTGCATAGCAACACACTTGAAAATGCCTTACCCAGGTTATCCATTGCATAATGAAGAAAGTAGTTGAATTTGATGTGCTTGTTACACACGATATCAGGATTAGGAGTCCTTCCCAGTTCATACTCTTTTAAGAGGTCACTGTAAAATAAAAATTCAAATGTGTATAACCATTTTAATGCTGCATCATACTATCCAAGACTGGACAGTAGAGAACTAAAGAACTTAAGACTCAGTCATAATAAGCATTTTATGTAAGAAATTTTTTAACCTATGAAAAACAATGCTTGGAAGATTTTCTTCAAAGTGCCCTGAGGACACGGCCAAATGATCACTCACAACCTTGCAATCATGTTTTATTAAATTAATATTCCCTCAGGGGAGCAATGGCTGCCCACTGAGCACTTACTACTTGCTTCTTACAAAATACTTACAGAATTAAAGAACCCTGCTTCATTTTTCAGAGTGACAGTGCAGTGGAGCATACACCAGGAGTTACAGTGTCTCAGCTGTAAGGACAAGAACTTAATCTACCTACAATACCACCACAAGCAGTCATGCAGCTTAGAGATTTTTTTCCAGTCTTTTTAATTTCTTTAAGAAATTCAAGTAGTTTCTCAAAGTCATGTAGCAGTTTTACACCGCTGCGTAATTAAAGTGCTCAGCATTAATTGCTCTAAAACAGTGAAATAATAATTAATGAAATTAAACTAGCATACAGTGATGCACTGAGGCAGCAAAAGGCCTGACTGCTGACTTCTTTTGCTTCTCCTCAGTTGTCACTCAAGTCAAGAGGAACCAAGGACATGGACTGGAACGCTGAGCTGCACTTAAAAGAACCCCAGTACCAGGTTTTACTCGTCCCCATCTGCTTCTTCCTTACCATGTTACACTTTACCTTCATCAATAGAAAATAAAGCAACACATCTTTTATTTTGCCCAACTCCTTTTTAACAGTTCTGAATTCAACCATTTATACTAATAATTATATCACTGCATCTACCCAGAGCTGCCTCCCTCTTGCCAGCTCAGCACTGCACTTGTACAGTACCATACCACTCCTTTGTGAATACTGCAAGAGTACACTGGAAGGTTTATTAAAAAATCAGCATAAAGCCAGGCTCACATCAGTTCAGAACCTGAAGCAAAGCAAACCAGCAAAAAGGCAAGGAAGGGTGCCTACTGAATCTCTCGGGCGTAAAAAATCAAACTGGACTTTGCACAGACTGTGGGAAAGACAAGACCTGGGATGGTGCTCTTGATGAAAGGTGGTTTTTGACAAATGACTCTCTAAAGAGAGTCTCTAGAGGAGGGGTCAATTCAAGCTCAGTGATGACAGTAAAGATTCTGAAACAAGCGAAGATACTTGCAACACATTGTTTGGGAACACTGTACCAATAAATGAGGAAAAGAAGATGATCTTTGATTCACTGTCATCTACAGACTTCTTCCACCTCTAAGAGTTTTTATAACACTTATTCATTTTCTCACACGAGGAGTGAACATTCCCAGAACAAGGCTGTTTTCTCCACTGACTGTACAGTTTTGTGCTCAACTTGATGTCATTTCAACGTGATGTGGAAGTACCACAACCAGGTTATTCCTCAGATTCTCCTAAGACAACAGCACTATTTAGAGGGAGGTGATGAAGACCAGGGAATAACTTTTATGTACTTATACCACGTAACAAGAGAAATTATGTTGTTATACTAATACTTCCCCTCTCTTCCTGCCTCCCAAAATAAGCCCTCAGCTTTTCCTATGCAGAATTTTCTTCCTTTACAGTGGAAGTCACAGAAAATCTGAACACCCTCCCTAGAGAACAGTTTTATTGTAAATTATTTATTGTAAGTCTAAAAAAGAATGAGAGAAAAAATTATTCCTCTCATATTTAAGAGACTTTAGTACTTTCTCTTAGTACTGATAATGCAAAAAATCACCTTTGCCCATTATCCAACCATCCTTGCTTTTTACAGTAACACAGTACTATACTAACATACATGGAGACCATCTATTTTAAATGTGCTTCTACCTGAATACTTCATTCCAGTATTCTTTCACATAGGAAACCTGGTGAAAAGGAATGTCGAGCTTCTGACAAACTCGGTAAGCATCTTCGCAATCTCTATCAATGGAGCAAGCTCCTTGTTCATCCAGGGGGTCCCAGTTCTTCATAAAGACACCCGTTACCTGGTAGCCTATGAATGAAGGTAAGAATGACTTATGAAGTTAAATTCCTACAACCTTGACCCAAAAAACCTGTTTTTCAAGACTTGTGTGGGTGACTGCTTCTTTCAGATGTTAGTAGTCCTGTGGTGTGGAAGCATCCTGTCAAGTTTTAAGGTACAGTTCTGCTATGGTTTTTTTTTTCTTCTATATCTAACAGTTAACGTAAAACCAAGCTCTTGCAGCAGCCTAACACGGTATTTCGTAACTATGAGCTTCTCCTATCTCCCTCTTTACCCCTCACTGCCTGCCGCCGCCGAGGCGCCCGGCTCCGAGGGACCGTGCCCTGAAATGAGGCCGCTCCACCGATCGGACTCGGCTGCACGGGGAGAGGGGGACCCTGCCGGGACGGATAGACC